GAGAAGTAGGTCGCCGTTTAGACCAGAAGGTGCCTCCATAGTTTGGCACCATCTCCTGTCGTCATAATGATTTGACAGTGCTTTTAGGTCATTATGTCTTACGGTAGGAAACTGCTAGAAGCCCTAGCTGCTCGTCGTTCCACCGGGTTTGTTTGAATGGACTTAATGTCAATGACCCAGTGCCTTGCCTTCGGGTCTCGCCTTCGGTTGAGCTTTTCATTCGGTTTCCGAAGTTCGAGAGAAAAGGCCCACGAATCGCTATAGGCAGCAACAGCTCCAAGTTGCCTCAATTTCACTTCTTGTCTATGAAAATGAAGCTTTGAAGCCTATTTTTGAGCATGCGAGGCCTTTGCCTATGGGCCTATGAGCGACACCTTTTGCCTTTTTTCTAAAAAGTCCAATTTTCAGTTACCGAAAAGGACCCGTAACGATATCGAAATGGTGTGCGACCTCTCTCGTCGACTGTCGCTCGTTCGCGATCAGCTGAAGGAACGAGACTCGGATTCAACGGAAGAACCAAGCCACTCAATGGAGAACTTGCTCACGGCGGTATCACGTATCATCAAAGGGCAGGGAAAAGCCGCCTGTTAGAGAAGGAATCGCCCACGCCGTCGAATCACCTTTTGTTCAGTTTGTAGTTCACACTTTTTTTCTCTCTCTCTAGATGTTATCGCCTCCAGAGTTTGTGTAGAACGAGGAGACGGAAAAGAATTAGAAAACTTGTAATTTGCGCAAACATTGCACACTTTTTTCTTTGACGTCACCTGGTTTTTCATCGTCTACAGATTTAATCATGGACATATTGTCCTTTCATGACTACAAATCGAATTTAAATATGAATTTCGCAATTATATTAATTGCAACTGATTCATAAAATCATCATAGGTAGTAGATTATCATACGTTCTGATATGTTAACTAACTAGTGAGACACTACCGTACCCCTAAGTTTTTTTTACCCGAACCAGATTTTTCTTTTTTTTCTGGGATACCAACTGGGGCAGTCTGTCTTTTGAACGCTCAACTCTATGTTTTCTTAGCTGATAAACTCGATTTTTAGTCTTTTTCCTTAAAAATGCTATGATCTCTGAATTTCTGAATTTCGATTTTAGAATAGACCTGCTCTACTTATTCGTTTGTTGTAACCTGTGATTTTAAATAGCGATTGGGTCAACTGATATGTGAGATATGATCGTATGAGCGGGTGTTTTTCTCGATAACAGTTTTGTAACACGTCTAATAAAGCCTTGATTTTTTTCCTTTATTTTCTTTATTCCGCTTTGTACATTAAAACACGATAACAATCTAACTGGCAGCAGCTGGTGCAGACTGCTGTACTGCGGCATCGACCGCGGGAGCGGAATCACCCTCGACTTTTTCTGGTTCGGCGGCGGCGGCGCAGGTGCATCGGCTGGAGCTGGAGCGGATTCGGCTGCTGGAGCTTCAGCAGCAGCTGGTTCGGGAGCATGTGCGTCTTCGTGATGTTCAGCCGGTGCTTCTGGAGCTGGTGCGGCTTCGGCTTGAGGTTCAGCAGCTGGAGCAGATTCGGCGTGTTCTTCGGCGTGGGCTTCTGCGGCTGGAGCAGATTCAGCTTCAGCTGCGGGGGCAGGAGCAGACTCGGGTTGAGCTTCAGCGGGGGCATCGTGGTGAGCTTCTTCATGAGGGGCGGATTCGGGAGCGGCTTCCGTTTGAGGTGCGGCTTGCACTTCAGCAGGTGCTTCTTGCGCAGCCTCAGCTGCAGGTTCTGGGGCGGATTCAGCAGCTGGAGCGGCCTCAGCATGGGATTCTGGTGCGGCTTCGGCTTGGGGTTCTGCATGGGATTCAGCGTGAGCTTCTTGAGGAGCCTCAGGTGCTGGCGCTGGGGCAGATTCCTCAGAATGGGCAGCTTCGGCGTGCGCTTCTGATGGGGCCTCTGCATGAGCTTCTGGAGCAGCTTCAGCGTGTGATTCTGAGGGGGCTTCTGCATGAGCTTCGGCTTCAGGGGCGGCTTCGGCATGTGCTTCTGATGGAGCTTCTGCTGCTGGAGCGGCTTCCTCTTTGGCAGCTTCTGGAGCAGCTTCTGCAGCTGGTGCTTCAGCATGCGCTTCAGCTGCGGGTGCCTCGGCGGCAGGTGCGGCTTCATCGGACGCAGCACAAGTTGGTTTCACTTCCTCTTTGTGGCATTCCGGCTCGGCAGAGGGAGCTTGTTCGTGGGATTCTGGGGCGTCTGTATGGGGTTCGGCCGCTGGAGCGGCTTCGGCTTGAGGTTCAGCGTGGGCTTCAGCTGCTGGAGCGGATTCCTCCTTAGCAGCAGCTTCTGGGGTGGCTTCTGGTGCTGGCGCTTCGGCAGCAGCCTCTGCTGCCTCCTGTTGAGCATGCAGGCCTTCGTCGGGAGCAGCCGTCGTAGGCGCGGCTTCCTCTTTGTGAGCCTCAGGCTCAGCAGCGGCGGGTTCTGTAAAGAAATTGTTGAATTATGATCATGTCACAGGAAAAATAATAGGGCGGTAAGGGAAAGTTAACATATATTCCACTCCATGCTTAAGCGTTGGAAACATTTTGACCTTGAAACTTTCTAATACATCCTAACGACGTTAAGTTCACTAGGTTGAGGAAGAGGAAGAAGAAAAACTGACTCAAACGACACTCAAAGGTAGCACAAACACGTTCTTTTCACCTTTGCTCCTGACACGAAAATGAATTCGGGGCCGACCTAGTGGCCTGCACAGCACCACCGTATCGTCTTCCTCTTCGCTGTCTATAGAACCTTGGGTCAACATGGAGCCTCCCCAACTACAGCCTACGTTCACGAGAAACAAATCGGACAAAAAAAGACTCACCAGAAGCGTGTTCAGCCGGAGCAGGTGCTTCAGCAGCGGCAGGTTCAGCAGCAGGAGCTTCATCTTGTGCAGGAGCAGGAGCTGGAGCGGCTTCCGACGGAGAAGGTTCAGCGGCGGCCTCAGCATGAGATTCCGGTGCAGGAGGTGCAGCAGCAGGAGCAGCTTCGGCTAAAGGAGCTTCAGCGGGAGCAGATTCATGAGTAGATTCGGGAGCAGGTGGAAGGGCATCGGGAGCAGATTCAGTAGGTTTTGGTGCCTCTTCAGCTGGGGCTGCTGAAGGAGCAGTGTCGGCCGCCTGGTCTGCCATTGTCGATGGGTTATGCGGGTGATGCGACTCGACCGGTAGGCGTGGTGCAGATGCGAAGGCGTGTCCGGCTACCACATGACGCACATATTCGGAACGCCTTCCACGTGGTCACGCCCCTTCAAAATGGTCTGCCCGCTTTGTTTGATCGGAAGAATGAGAGATTTTGGAATGCATGCAAACGTATGAGAGGACGCAGAGACCAAGTGCGGGGTTAGACAGATCTGTGGCGAAAGTGAAAAATTGTGAGATTACTGAAGCTCAGATGACGTATACCGCATAAGTTTCGGGATTCTTCTGAAGGAGCTACCTACACACTTTCAAGTGCAGACATATTGGTAACAGGTCTTCGTTCGGTGAGATGTGGGACCAGACATTCAGAATGTAAAGAGCAACGAACTTCAACACCGAACGAAACCAATCAGCTTTCCATAATAACGGTCCATCTCTCGATAATTTCGCAACAAACTGTAGACACAATTATCTTCACATCTTGATGGTAATACACGTGGTAAAACAACCAGACTTAGGCCATAATGACTATGATCATGAAATAAAGTAAGGTAATTTTCATGCTAGAAGATGATCTTGATTGACCAATAGCAGAGCTGTCCTAACCCATCTTACTTGTTCCGCCAAGTAATCATTACTAACTATCGAGAGGAAAGTGATACAGAGAAGGCCGGCAAAACTTCAGGACCAATAAATTTCAACTGAACTAAACCAAAGCAAAGGAAAGCGGGAGTGGGTAGGCAAGTGACACGCTTACCACACAGGCGTTGTGATCCAATCTGCGTGTATCGCCGGCCCATCCCTCCGGGTCGGTTAATTGGTACCAGACTTGTCTGGGAGGATAAAAACACTGACTTGTACATCGGCTGGCCCCCGCAAGTCATTGTATAGGCCACATCGCATTCAACGCCACTACGAATGTACAAATGGAAGTAGAATGCGTGCCGCATCCCAAAAAGGGATTGATCAACGGCAAATGCTTTATCCTTTATCCTTTCAACAGGATAAAGGATCTAAAACATTAGAAAGGGTCCACTTTGAAGTTGTGGAATGATTTTAGGAATATAGAGGATGGGATAGAGATTGGAAGAGGGTCCACCTTGCGTTTGGGAATAGAATTCGCAGAGATAATTACGACGTATAAAGATCAGGTGAAGATTACAGAAGGCATAGCACTTGAAAATCCGCTCGAAATCATCGATCTTTTTCTGGAAAATATCTAAAAATATTGCAATCTGATAAAACAGATCAGCAGACATTGAGAGCCTAGAAGAGGGTATGCGGGTTTCTAAAGCGTTTTATAAGCTTTTACGTAGCATTCTATGGATTTTGGAGGGTAATCCTACTGTACTTTCATGCCACTCCGTGTTCCATTCAATCCCCTGAACCCTATATAGGAATTTAAAACATAGACGGACGATTCATTAGTATTCCCCTGGTAACTGCAGTGCAGTTTTTCGTCGGCATTTGAAACAATACGATTTGTCATTCGGCAGAGATCCAGTCATTTCGCTACCGTTCTCAGCCAGTATTACTCACCTGGACGACGGAATTCCTTTCAACCCCCCCCCGTGTAAGGGGCTCAACAGGAACTTCTTTTCGCCGGGATTATTTCTATTGATGAAACGGACGTTGTACGAAATCATGTGAACACGATAGGCGAAATTTTGCACGGATATGCGCCTACACATCGCTAAAAACTGGCACACACTTGTGGCTCGGCGAGGCATTTCGCAATCGCCGCCACGCTACAATTCACTAATCTATTCAATGCTGCGAAAAAGCTCTTTTTGTCACCTTCGACGGTTTTTAGGCGCATCGTTTGAAGGCGCCCGAACCTTCTCTATACAGATATCGATTTCCTGATTATTACGATTGACCAGAAAATGACTGAAAGTGCTACTGTCCTGCGAGTTTTTTTCCCATCGTAAAAATTAGGTCTGTCTGAAAATTGTTCTGGCAAGAAATGGCTTGAAAATCTCCATGTGAAGTTGAATTTTATGTAGGATTCTTTGGTCTCAATAGGCAAGAAGCTCTTCTGGGACTTGTTTTCTGAAAAAATAAAAAATAATCCTAGATTTCTGGCGTCGTAGAAAGGTTTTCATTAATCGATTTTGGTTGAGCCCACTGGGATGGGCCATGTTTCCGGTCTTCATCTGAAATTCCGAGACTTGAATGCTTACTTATTCGAGACCCGCTCATGTTTTATCCAGTTTTTCGTCTTTTTTTTCCAATTGGCTGACATCGAAGGATGGAAGGCTCACCATGGCTGCTCCTGACGGACTTCGGAATGCCTTCTTATTAAATACAAATTATTCTCGAAATAAATGCTACTGCTTCTCGTACCGTTGCCAGTTCCAGCATTTATGTTTCGCTATACTATAGTTTATATTATATTAGGAGCAATCGCATGATACAGGGGCATCCTTCCAGGGCTAAGCCTGGGAGGGTGCAGGAACTTCGCTGAAATGAAAATTGCTCATACATCCTAGATTCTGTTCACTTCAGGGCTTACAAGGAAGGTCTATCAGGACATGAAGCGCTTTTCGAGATGGCTTT